TCACTGTGTTACTGTGTTACTCTACCCCACTTCAAGAATTGTGAAAGTTCTTTATACAGCAAAAATACTCACTCCTGGTAGATAAAGTTAAGAGACATAATACCAGGAATCGTTTCATGAATAGATGGGAAAGGGATAATAATAGCATAATTCTTGTTCATGCCCTTACAGGAATCGTTAATATAAGTTAAGAAAATAATATTAGGAATCGTTAATATAAGTTAAGAAAATAATATTAGGAATCGTTAATATAAGTTAAGAAAATAATATTAGGAATCGTTAATATAAGTTAAGAAAATAATATCAGGAATCGTTAATATAAGTTAAGAAAATAATATGAGGAATCGTTAATATAAGTTAAGAAAATAATATTAGGAATCGTTTCATACATACATGTAGATGGAAACGGGATAATTTTATAATTCCCTTTAACTCCCTAGCAAGAAGAAATATTTTAGAAGCAAAATTGAATTTTTTTTAACTTCTTTTTTGCTCCCTTGCAGGAAGAAATATTTTGGAATCAGAATTGGATTTTTTGAACTTCTGAGTCTCATTTCTCCCCCATATCTTAGAAGATATTTTGAATCTGGCACCATTGTTGAAGTGATCACTGCGTCTTGGGGATGCATATGATGTTGAGTGTGGCCTGCAGAGTGTTTGTTAATTTGTTTGTTTGTTTGTTTGTCAACTTGTCCATGTTGGTTGTGGAATCTTCTTTGTAGACATGCTGAAGAGGAGCTTAGAATTTCCCAGTTTGGTGACGGGTGACGTTATGCCTTTTGATTCCTAATAATCCCTTTGTCATGTACACAAAGGGGCTGTCAGTTTTCGAACCGGACCTCCTTCCCTTTTCAGTTTTTCGTTATTGGAATTTTGCTGCGGTTTCGGGTTTGGCTTACTTGTTTGAATTACAGACCTTTCTCCTTTTTTTTTATATTCCATCACCTTATTTGTAGTGTACAGGAGTACATTTGTAAAGATTTTGGGAGATATTTTATGATATTGTATTTTTTCAGTTTCGGCTCATTGATTTTTTAATTAAAATGTATGACATTATAGGGGAGCCTATTATATGTCCACATATCGGCCAAGATTATGCTATTCCATAAATTCATTTTGGGAAATTGTAATTAAAAACAGATGGCGCTATTAAAAATTTTAATAGTCCCAAACTTTTTAGTTTGTTCTATTTTAATGCAGTTGTCTGGGATTATTTTTAAGGGGATGGGTTTGGGTTTTTTTTGTTTGTTTGGGTTTTATTTTGTCTTCTTGTTTTTATTCGGATTTTTTTTTGGGGGGGGGTGGAGATTTCCAGAAAGGGTAGGAGAGAAGGTTACATTAGGACACAGAAGGCATAGCTCGATTGAAGGCTCCACATCCATATTGTGCGTTTAGATTTAGATGAGGATCGGGTTTTTTAAAACTACACTATGAGCTACAAGAGATTTGAACCTCAAACTTGCGCGACATTGGGAAGTACACTACGAACTTACAATAATTACGTGCCAAATTGATTGCCCAAATTTGTTGCATCTTGTTTTATGGTGATGTGTGTTGGGTGGATAATTTTTGTGTATGCCGGGGGGGGGGGGGGGGGATGTCAATCACTAGATTGAGATGAATAAGCCATAAAAAAAATAATGTTTTATGTCTTCTGTGTGAATTGTTATGGTACATTGTTGTTTTTTTTCTCTGCATGATCACAGCTAATGTTGAGTAAATGAGAGAGAAAGAAGCAGCCTGACACAGCCTGACACAGCCTGACACAGCCTGACACAGCCTGACACAGCCTGACACAGCCTGACACAGCCTGACACAGCCTGACACAGCCTGACACAGCTGTGAGGTACAAGTTTTGTTTAGCGTGGCTTCTTGTTTGCTTCTTGACTGCGTCCAAGGAGGTTTTTGGGATATGGTGATTTTTATTTTGTAACATAATTATAAGAGGAGATGGATTTTTCAGAATTCAGTTATTTAAGAATTGTTTGTAAAACCTCTCATAACCAGTATGTCTAGTATATTGAATATTATTATGATTAAGACAGCATTTTTTTCCTGTCTCTCTACCTGTTTGTGTGAGTGTGTGTTTGTGTGTGTGTGTGTGTGTGTGTGTGTGTGTGTGTGTGTGTGTGTGTGTGTGAGAGAGAGAGAGAGAGAGAGAGAGAGAGAGAGAGAGAGAGAGTTCTATTTTGTATTTCAGTCGCAAGGTGTTTGTGTATGTTTGCGACTTTTATCTTGTTCTATTTGAGTCGCGAGACTGGTTTTGGACTAATGGTGTAGTAAGGTAGAGCGCCCTCCCCTTGAGACTGGCGGGTACACGTGGTTCAGTAAGGTAGAGGGCTCACCCTGTGAGACTGGTGTGTACGTGCAGTCCTGTAGGGTAGAAGAGTTCCCGCAAGTAACTGACTCCTCATTGATGATGACTATAAATAAACCTTTTTTTTTCGTTTTATGTAAACCAAATACTTTATTTTGACTGTGTGAGATTGTCTTCAGAAGT